TTTCTTTTAGTGAACCTTCTGAACTATTTAAGAAGAGCAGCAGGAAGCAAGTAGTTCTTTGTTGCTCCTGTTTGTAGAGCAGCAGCAGCAGCAGCAGCAGCAGCAGCAGCAGCAGCAGCAGCAAAGAGCCAAAAAAGAATTTAATAAGTTAATCAGCAAACCGGGCCCGCAGGGGGGGCCCTTAGCTTCCATTCTGTTAAAAGGGATAATACCAAAAGAGGGGGGCCCCCCAAGGGGGGGGCCCCCAAAGAGGGGGGCCCCCAGCAGTACCCTTTGGGGCCCCTCGGCTCCCTTGCTGCTGCATGCATGCGCTCTATGCAGCAAATCAAAAGGGGCAAAGAGGGCCCCAAAGCAGCAGCTGTTAGTGGGGGGGAGGGCCCCACAGCCAGGGGGGCCCCCTGGGGGCCCCCAAGGGGGCCCCCCTGGGGGCCCCCAAGGGGGCCCCCCTGGCTGTGGGGCCCAGAGGGGGCCCACCCCCTTGCCATGATCTCGAGGCAATCCTCAGCTATTTGGTGCTGCTGCAGCAGCTGCTGCTGCTGCAGCTGCTGCAGCTGCAGCAGTTGCCGTTGCTGCTGCTGCTGCAGCACATCCCGCGAGCTGCTGCTGCTGCTGCGAACTGCTGCTGCTGCTGCTGCTGCTGCTGTCTCCTTAAATCTAGGGGCCCCCACAGTCTGGGGCCCCTCAGGGGGCCCATAAAGGCTCATAAGGGCCCCCGCCAAGGGGGGCCCCCCAAAGGGGGCCCCTAGAGGGGCCCCCAGGGGGCCCCCCCTGCCTTCTTGAATGAGTTCAATGCCGTACTCAAAGCAAAGCTGGACTTCTTCATCCTGAGAGGGGCCTTCCCCCTCCTCTGCTGCTGCTGCCGCTGCTGCTGCTGCTGCTGCTGCTGTTGCTGCTGCTGCTGCTGCAGTTTGGCTTTTAGCAGCAAAACCTGCGTGGGCGCAGCCAGCTGGGGGGGCCCCCAGGGGCCCCAGAGAGTACAAAGAAAAGAAAGAAAAGTTGAAGTTTTTATTTATTTTAATTTTATTTATTTTATTTTCTTTTTCGGAGTTTAAGGATTCCCACAAGAGCCGCACCAGCTGCTGCAGCGGACTGCTCTCGGTGCCCCAGCAGCTGCAAAAACAAATAAATAAATAAATAAATAAATAAATAAATAAACAAACAAATAAATAAATAAATAAATAAATAAATAAATAAATAAATAAATAAATAAATAAATAAATAATCAATTGGTAACGAATAATAGCAAGAAGCAGCAGCAGCAAAAGCAGCAGTACCAGCAAAAGCAGCAGCAGCAGCAAACGCAGCAGCAGCAGCGAAAGCAGCAGCAGCAGCAAAAGCAGCAGCAGCAGCAAAAGAAGCAGCAGCAGCAAAAGAAGCAGCAAACCAGCAGCAGAATGAAGTGAAAAAAGACCACCAAAAGAAGCAAAAAGCCGAATTTAAAAATAAAAATAAAAACAAAATAAATTACCTTTCCAACTCAGAGGGTACTGGCGCCAAGAGGGGCCCCTCAGCTTGGGGGGCCCCCCCCCCTGCAGCAAAAGCAGCAGCAGCAGCAGCTTGCAGGGCCCCTGCTGCTGCTAGGCTCTCCAGGTGTACGTACACCCCAGCCCCTGCAGCCCCAAACAGCCACAGGGGGGCCCCCAAGAGGGCCCCCTTGGCTTCGCTGCTCAGCAGCCAAGCTGCGCTCCGCAGCAGCAGCAGCAGCAGCGGGGGCCCCTCGGGGGCCCCCGGGGGGCCCCCCGGGGGGCCCCCCAAGGGGCCCCCAGAGGGGCCCCCAGGAGGGGCCCCAGGGGGGCCCCCCGGGGGGCCCCCCGGGGGGCCCCCCGGGGAGTGGGTACAGAGCTGCCGCAGCAGCGCGATGAGCTCAAGCAGCTTCAGCCGCAGCAAATAGAGGGGGGGGGCCCCCCTTGGGGGCCCCAAGGGGGGCCCCCCTTTGTTTAGATTTGTCTCCTTTGAGGGAATACTTTCCGGGCTTTCAGGCCAGCAAAGGGGGGCCCCCACGGCCCCGCTTGCTGCTGCTGCTGCTGCTGCTTTGCTGCTGCGCAACGGCAGCGCTATGGGGCCCCAGGGGGGCCCCCAGGGGGGCCCCCTGGGGGCCCCCCAAGGGGGGCCTCAGGAGGTCTCTGAGGGGCCAAGAGGAATCTAGCCTTGCAGCAAAAGCCCTCACCACCCTTCCCAGCACTGCAGCAGCAGCAGCAGCAGCAGCGGGCTCCTCCTTGCTGCTGCTGCTGTTGCTGCTGCTGCTGCTGCTGCTGCTGCTGCTGCTGTGCCCCCAGCCCCGCAGCAAATGAGACTGCTGGGCCCTGGGGCCCAGGGCGAGGGCCCCCCCGCGTATTAGGAGGGCCCCCAGGGTCACCTGGAGGCCCCTGGAGAGCTGCAGCAGCAGCAGCAGCAGCTGCAGCAGCAACTCAGACTCCGCAGCTAGCTGCTGCAGCAAGGCAGCAGCAAGGGGGCCCCCCGCGGGCCCTTCGGGGCAGCAGCACAGCAGCCGCCCATAGTC